CGCCGTTCCAGATTGAGGAACCGTCTCTCCGCAACTTCCCGCGAATTCGTAAACTGTGGCTCAGGACCTTTGAACGGTAGCGCTACAACAAATCGACCCGACTCGGTACGCTGATAGTTGTTCATGAAATGTTCTTCGCACTGTACGTCCTCTGAAGATTGCGTTTGAACGTCAGGTACTTCCTTGACTTCCCAAAATCGCCGATAATTGTGTCTAAACAAGGTGAAGGCGCGATCGAAGAGAATAACGAATGCTGTGGGCCGATGTTTGGACTCTTGCAATTGTCCAAAATGATCCAACCGAAACTTGTTTGGAAGGCGTATAGTTCTTGTAGTGTTTCTTAATAAAACTCGATAGTTTCTTTGCCTTGTTTATTACCCGCGATATGTACAATAAAAAGAAACACAACTTCTATAACTTAATAACGCTACTGTCGACGGCCATCATGCTCTGTTCTACTGTAACGCATGGTCCGCACTTCGTGCGCCCACAACTATGCAACTACCTACTCTATATACCACAGTTCTAATGGATTGCCGCTTCGCTTATTACTAACAAATATTTTGGCGAAGATATCCGCGCCGAGAAGTATCTCGACCCTTGACGACTTGTGAAAGTTTGGATCAGCTAATTGCAAATTTTCAATATGTTTCCACGTACTTACTGACAAAGAAATTGATGGCAATTGATTACAGATTTTTGGAACTATAATGGCGTCAAATGTAATTTGTGGGATTTCTTTAAAATGTGGCCAGGGTGTGCAAGCTGTCAGCTTGGATGATTGGGAAGACATGCCGTTCAAACCGATTATTGGCATCGAAGTTGACATTGAGGTGAGTCCGAGTCGTCGCTGACATCTTTCGGTGATAAAAGATGGTTGACTACCACTATCCAGTAAAGCACGAAGTAGATGTAATTCGCCCAGGTTATCATAAATTCCTACTAACACTCTGGCAAGGAGTACGTTGCCGGACATCGACTGCAGCGACATGTGGACTGAGGTGGGTTTAGCCAGTCATAAGTTCGATCATGATGATGATGGTGGTTAGCTTGTAGACGTATCACTTGTCAGTTGCATGAAACTGTTTGTGCGTCTCGCGGGCTCAAAATGTAATAACGTATGATGACGAACGTGGCATTTTCGACATACGTCCTTCAGCAAGTGGACAGATCTTAAGCAATTGAAGCAGATTATCTTATCTTTGACGATATCATAACGCTCTTGGGGCGATTTTTCCAGGGAATTGGGGCATTGATACATTGAATGCCCACATTTACACATCCAACAAACCCCTTTTAGCCGTTCCGCGGAAGTAGCGAAGACATGAGGAGCTCCACTGCGAAAAGTTTCAAATTGCGCTGTCCGCGGGAATGTTTTTTGTACATGATGGGTGGATCCGTCTACCTCCAGAGCCCTACACCGGCGCAACACAAACTCCTTCAGCATATCGAATGTCGGCAGCTCTGTGGTACTGTTTTCAATTTCGAAGCGTTTTCGAGTAGATGGGTCAATTTTTTGTAAAAGCCAATTAAATAGGGTAAAGTCCCAAAAGTCTAATGAGTTCCGAAATTGGTCTTCCCCAGGTTGTCACTACCGTCGGTAAGTGAGTCTCGTATTTGGTTTAGCGTCGCTAAATTCTCGGTGAAACAATTCACGAGCGCCCGAAGAGCTTGTGGAGAGTCAGAAATCACTTTACTAACGTTCGCGATAGTCCGCCAGTCACTTATCGAGAGCGATTTAGCGATGGACAACGGTTTGCCCGAGAGGTGTGTTATTAACACATGAAATTTTTCAATATCCGAATAATTAGGATTTGTATGGACCGAGACTTTGTACAAATCACGAAAATTTGGCCACGTTTTTAGGTTTCCATCAAATCTCATCAAATTAATTGGTGCCAATTTAATATTCGAATGCACCGAAGTGGGAGCCGAAACTATTGTGGGGTTTAGCACCGGCACAGGTTTAGCCGTTTCTAAAACTTGTTGAACTCTCACATACGTTGCTTTTAACTTCAAAAAAACGCTGTCGATCTCAATCTGCAAATTTTAGATTTCTTCGAACAATTCCTTCTCTTCTTTGTCCACAAGATAATTCGAAAATAAACGGCGCGAATCGGATCGAAGTTCTTCCGCCCACCCAAAGGTGGCGACAATGTTGGCTTGCGACTCCGGACAGGATAAATTCTCGAATTCGACACTGGCTACGATTTTGAGCCGTTTTAAAATTTGCCTAGCACTAATCACGTCTTTATCCATAGTGGCCATAATTGTTCAATGAGCAAGAATCTACGATAAAGTGCAAATAACAAGAACGAGTAACGAGAAAGGGTAAAACGATAAAGCGACAAAACGAAAAACGATGGGCGATAAAACGAAGAGTATGTTGGCAAAACTAATTACGATGGCGATAACGATCGATGGACGTAACTTGGTGGGTTTGCAATTTGAAATTTTTGCGGAATAAATCCGGCTCGAAAGACCAATAAAATGTTCGCGAAAATGTATTAAATATGAAAAATAATTGCCTCCAATAAGTTACGACTTACCTGGTGATGCGTGTGTCAGCGATATGACGATGAAGGGGATGAGTAGCGACGAAATGAGTACCGTGTAGGCACTAGTACACACAGCGATAACAAGTACAACGAAAGTAATTACGACACGAAACGACACGCAGAGATGTTTTATCGAACTGATCGATTAGGAGTACGAAATGCTACTGAGTGGCGCTGGTGGTTTTTTTGGCACTTTATCCCCTTTTTCCACACACGTGTGAGGGTCACAGACGTGGTGATCCCGAACGTCTGACTGAACCGGAGGCACGGTCTTAAACATAATTGGAGGGTTAGATAAAAAAAAAAAAAATTTAAGCTAGACGAAATAGATATCTTATTCCTTTAAGTAAACTGTGGGTGAATTTGACCGTGGACGTTTCTTGGATTGAAGATTTTTTCCCCTCCAATTTTCTTCTGCTATCGATTCGAAGAAGGCCGTGTCCTTGATGCCAATTTTATAAGATCCTCTACACAAAATCGTTGTTTCGTATTCCGCAAAGCAATTAATATTTTTATGTAAATTTGCTTGACAGTTGTGGCAAGTGTAGTAACTATTATTTACGGGTAACTGGCACGATGAACAGCAAGAATCAAAGAGCGAAGTGCTGTCATTGTTGCCCACTAAAAAATAATTTTGGTAAAAGATAATAATTATAAGTATTTTTTAATAAATTATTTCTAGGTTTTATTTATATCACACACATGTTTTTAACACAAATATACTAAAAATTATCAAAAATATTTCAGTATGAAGGTAAAATTTAAATTGTACATATAATGTTTTAATGATTTGCAAACTAATTTGTCAAATTATGTAAAACATAATGTTAATCAGTTGATTAAATGTGTGGTGCAAATGGGCATAAGAAAATCTCGATATCAGTACTAACTTATTATTGCAAAGAAAATAATTTAATTTTCTTACTTATGTTGGTTGTTTGCAGCAAGGATTCCTCTTTAGACTCTTCTGTAATTTCTACTTAAAAAAATAATTATTAAAATTTATGAAAATCAACACTAAATTCACTTACTGTGGGGTCTATTCTGCCTTTTATCTGTTAAAATTTAAAGCCCGTTAAAAATTTAAGGGCCTCTAAATTATTTGTGGTATTCTGTAACGTACATTTCTGTTAAAATTTTAGTGGAACCCGTTAATTTCTGCCGCTATTACATTGATTTTAAGAGGAGTGTTTACTGTACCCTTTAATTTTTAACGGATATCAAAATGGCTTTTTTTGACGTTTTGGGTGAAATGTTATACGAAGAGATAATACAAAATGAAGCAAAGTACGTATCGAAATTTCGTTTAATTCGTTTTTTAAGTTAAATATTTGTAATAGTGCTGAATTTCGATTACATCAAAGACAAATTCGAGATTTGAGCAATCCTTTTCAAATACCCGAAAATGTGTTCAGAAGATTGTTTCGTTTTAATAAGGATACAGCTTTGGCAGTTGTAAACATGATCAGTGAACACATGAGACAGCCACGAAGACCCACTGGAATACCCTCTCATATAAAAATTTTGGCAACATTACATTTTTATGCCACAGGTAGTTATCAGTTGAGCGCTGGTCAGGGATATCATTTTGCCATAAGTCAATCGAGCATGAGTCGATGTATAAACGAAGTTACGAATATTGTAAACCAATATCTGCTACATGAATGGATTGTTTTTCCTGCAACGGAAAATGAAAGAAATAACTTCAAGCGAGAGTTTTACGAAAATTTCCATTTTCCCCGATGTTTGGGCGCAATCGACTGTACTCATGTAGCAATTATTGCACCTCCCGAAAATTATCCAGCTTTACCATACTACTGTAGAAAAGGCTTCTACAGTATTAACTGCCAAATTATTGTATCCAGCAACTTAAAAATTCTGGGTCTAAATGCCAGGTTTCCTGGTTCCACGCATGACTCCGCTATTTGGCAAGCATCAAACATAAAAACCACTTTACAAAATTTATATCTTCGAGGAGACGATTCTTTGCTTATCGGAGATTCTGGTTACCCCCTTCAACCTTTTTTAATAACACCATTTGAAAATCCCGAAGAAAATAGCCCAGAATCACGCTATAATTATCATTTTATTAGAGCCAGAAATGTGATCGAGAGATTAAATGGTGTCCTGAAATCCAGATTTCGTTGTCTGCTAAAACATCGGGTCTTAAATTATAGGCCCACTGTTGCAGGAAAAATTATTTACAGTTGCGGTGTACTCCATAATATTGCCCAGCATTATAACGACAATTTACGTGAAAACGAGATAATTGAAGAAGACGAGGAAGATGACTTCAATGAAATTGTAATGAGAGATGGCAACTGGCACAGAAGAGGGGAAGAAGTACGAAATCAAATAGTACAGCGTTTTTTTACTTAAATCAATAATTTTATTCTTCTTATTAATACTCCTAATATCTACTTCTATAATAAATGTTACACTTCATAATTTGTGTGTCATTCTATTAAGGGCCCCTGCCAAAGCTTGGATAGCTTGTGCTAATCTGTAATTTGACTGGGCCAGTTGTCTAAGTGTTTTATCGTGTAGTTCAAGAGCACCCTTACTTTGATTTAACATTTTTCGCTTTATTATTGTCTTGCTTTGCACTCCTTTCATATTAGACCTGTCTGTTGGTATGTTATCTCCGCCTGAAATTTATTTAAAATTGTAACAAAACATTTTCAGTAATTCGGATGGATACCTGTCATATCATCATTCAAAGGGTTTTCATTATTGTCTTCCAAATGTTCATCATCCATTATAAATACCGGCATTTGCTCAATGTTCAGTTCTTTACTGACAGGCACTCCAGCCTCCGGCAGGGCATCTCCTTCCACGGTCAAATGTGACAGAAGTGCAATAAGACGTTCTTCTAACTCTGATAAAGGTTTTACACCTGAACCACCACCCGTGCCAGTTGTGCCGTATCGGACATCCCTAGCTCGTCTACGGACATTTGTTTTCATTTCACTGATGCTCTACGACAGTAAAGAAGGTTAAAATTGCTTTATATTGAAAACATACTTACCTCTTTCCATTGCTTTATAGTTTTTGGAGGGCCACGCTCATTTACGGCTTTAGTCAGTTCCTCCCACAATTTATTTGTTTTCGCTAAATTAAGAGGATTCATTTTCCCTCCCAGTAACACTTTATGTTCACTTAAGAAGTTAATAATAAACTCTTTTTGCTTTTTTGTGGCTCTAGCCGAACGCGACATTTTCGATTTTATATTTTTGACAAATAAATTGTTTGTCACTACGCCACAGGTTCCTAGATATACGTAATTTTATACTAAAAGTGCGTTGTTGCCATGTGGAAACGAAGGAAATTTAAGGGACCCTCTAAAATGCCACAGTTTTAGTTGCCATCTAAAATATTACGATATAGAATATCAGATTCCGTTATTTTTTTTAGAGGACCTCTAAAAATTAAATTTTTAACGGGCTTTAAATTTTAACAGATAAAATACAGAATAGACCCCTGTCTCGGATAATTTTTCTTCAATTAACTTGTTGCTTGACTGCTTTACGAATTCTTCTTCTGGCTCTAAAATTTATTGATAAATAAGGAATAGTTGTTGCAGACAATAAAACGTACCTTACAATAATAAAAGATAGTTTTTGTATATCCTAAAGTATTTCGAATGTATTCTGTCACTTGATACTTTTCAATGCGTGTTTGCTATGGTTTGATTCGATTTCTCGTATCAAAATATCGCGCCGAACAAGTGGGGTTCAGCGCAGCCACGACACTGAGCTAATGGGGCTCAGTTGTTAAGGACTGAGCTAATGGGGCTCAGTTGTTACGGACTGAGCTAATGGGGCTCAGTCTTAATAAACACAGAACGTTTACGTCACGAACACTTTATTACAGTTCGTATCTTGTACTGACTGTGACAACGACTCGTCTCTAAACTTACAACTACATAACAACATTTTTTAAAATGGTGGGGATGCCCAACCCCCACTTAAGGGATGCGCCTAGAAAGTAAAAGTCCTTATAACATCCCGGCCCGCATTGAACTATAGGTTCAATAATCCTGGTCGTACGGGTCGTACACTACACTATGATCACTGATACGTTTAATTGCCCATAACACTACCGGGTAACACACACAAGGTTCTTGCGGCTCTGCGGACAACCTCTTTGCCTAATTTCACGGGGACCACCCTCACGCAGCCATCGTCTCCTGGATGTACGGCAACAACACGTCCTCTTCTCCAGGTCAGCGGCGGTGTGCTGTCCTTTAGAAGCACCAAGGTGCCTGGATCCAACCTAGGAAATTCGTCCTGCTGCCATTTTGTCCTCTCCTGAAGTTGACAAAGGTACTCCTTAGCCCATCGCTGCCAGAAATGTTGTTGAATCTGCGTGACCCGCTGCCATCTGGACAATCGATTTACGTTGATGTCGACGTATTGTGGTCACGGTATGGAGGTTAACGGAGCCCCAACCAAAAAATGCCCCGGTGTGAGAACCTCTAGGTCGTTAGGATCATCACTGAGTGGACATAAGGGTCGCGAGTTTAAGCATGCTTCTATACCCGCCAATACAGTGTACATTTCCTCGAAAGTCATATGTGCATGACTTAACACTCTTTTTAAGTGGAATTTTGTAGATTTTACCCCGGCCTCCCATAATCCGCCAAAATGGGGGGCTCTAGCCGGTATAAAGTGCCAGTTGATGTTATTGGTTGATTAATACGTAATAATTTTGTCTCCAAACTCGCTAGATTCAAACAATGTCGATAACTCGCGATTCGCTCCTACGAAATTCGAGCCATTGTCCGAATATATGTTTTCGGGCATACCACGTCGCGCGATAAATCGTTTCAACGCGCCCAAAAACGTCGCGGAAGTTAAATCGCTAACTAGTTCTAAATGGATTGCCTTGGTGGTAAAACAAATGAAAAGCGCAATATATGCCTTAACCAGCCTTCTGTTTTTTGTCTTACCATCCTTAATTAAGATGGGACCTGCGTAATCAACTCCCGTATTGCGAAATATTTTTCCCGGCATTAATCTAGCACCAGGTAAATTACCCATTATTGGATTTACCTCCAACGGTTTCATCCTTGCACAGGTAAAACATTTTCGGGTAACCTGTCGTACCTGATCCCTACCTGACAATGGCCAAAATCTAGTGCGTATTGACGCTAAAGTCGCTAATGACCCGGCATGACATAATCTTTCGTGTTCATAATGTATAATTAATTTTCTCACATTATGATTCGGTAGTACGATCGAATGTTTTTGTTCGTATGGAATATCTGCCCTTCGTAAACACCCACCTACTCTAATTAAACCATCACCATCAAAAAACGGATTTAACGTCTTCAGTCTGCTATTTTTACATACAAACCCGGTATTTTTCAAATCTGAAATTTCGTATGTGAAACATAAATTTTGCAACCTTTTTACAATCGCAAGGGTAGCCTTGGTTAGTTCAGTGGCCGTAAGGGTTTTCGTAATTTTATCACGCGGATGTGTACAATTGTATGCAAATCTGAAACAGGTAGCTACGACTCGTTGCAATTTTAGAAAAAATGAAAATTTTGCTAAAAGTTCGTCCTCCTTTATGGTACTAACAAACGATAATTTTCGCAACTCCGGTAATTCGGCTACATTTAGATTATATGTAGGCCAGTATTTTTCACCTTTAGACAACCATTCTGGGCCTTTAAACCAAAGTGTACGGTTTATTAGCTCACTAGGAAAACTACCTCGGGAAATAACGTCGGCGGGGTTATCTTCAGAACTCACGTGACGCCAATTTGAAATGTTGGTCAATCTTTGGATTTCTTCGACGCGATTGGCAACAAAGGTGTTTAAATTCGACGGCGAATGGGACAGCCATGCCAGAACTATTGTGGAGTCGGACCAATAAAATATGTTATCAATTGGTATTCTTAAGTTACCCTTGACCGAATCAACTAATTTTGATAGTAATACTGCGGCTGACAACTCTAACCTCGGTATTGTAACCGTTTTTAGCGGCGCAACACGCGACTTCGCACATAACAAATGTGTCGAAATAGTACCGCAAGCTCCAGTCGTACGAACGTACAAACATGCCCCGAATGCTTCCTGTGACGCGTCACAGAAGCCATGAATCTCTAAACTTTTATGAGGAAATTCGTCGATCACTACACGCGGTATTCTAAAATTATTTAATAGATTCAGTTCCGTCAATAACCTAGTCCATACTACTGCCAACTCTAATGGAATATCCTCGTCCCAACCCAGTTTTATTTTCCAAAGATGCTGTATGCGTTTTTTAGCTATACGTTCGTTTGTACCTAATTGTTCCGGTGTTGACTTAAAACACAAATTTTTTATGAACTTGCCCATATTGTCTCGTTTATGGTTATTCGAAAAATGTTATTCGCACATGTTTTCCTCTTGAGAAAGTTCCTTATTGTTCTCGGCAGGCCATTGATCTATTTCCCAAAACTGTCGGACCCTTTGGTCTAAAGCCCTTAACGACAAATTTCAGGAAATGGGTCGGTTTGTACTGGTATTTATTGCCTGGTTTAGGGTACCTACAACCAACCATCCCAAGGAAGTTTGTTGTAAATGAATTTCGTTATTGTGGGTTTTTATTTGACCAGACCCAATAATTCGCCAAAATACATTTGCCCCTAATAAAATATTCACTTTTCCCGACTGATGAAAAGAAGGATCAGCTAATTGCATACCGGGCGGAATTTGCAGCGGTTCCTTATTGAAAGAAACTGCAGGTATATTTCCGGTTATTTGGGGAACAATTTAACAATTTACAGAATAATTGCAGCAGTTATACGTAGATTTAAAATGAATGACGGTTTCCCCATTCGCTGTACTTTTTGTGCCACTAATCCCGGTTATGTCGCCCTTACTCGAATTGATCTTTAATCCTAACCTTATACTTAAGGATTGACTAATAAAGCAGGATTATGACCCCATGTCTAAAAATGCTCGACATTTAACGCATTGTTGATTATTTGTACGTACTAATACTTGTACTGTGACCAATAGTACTAATTGCTGTTTTATGCTAACGTGACCCACCAAATTTGATGTACTCGGTTCAATTATTGGTTGCTCCTCGACTCTAGGGTTTAAATGTAATCAGGAATTGACGGTATGTACCTACAAGAATTCGCCTTACAATTTTCTGCACTATGTTTCGATTTCATACAGTTCAGGCACAGTTTTAAATCTCTTATTTTATTAATTCTTTCCGCTACGGACAAATTTAGAAAATCGGAACATTGGTATAACGCGTGCGAACCTTTGCATAAGAAACACTATATGGTGAATTTTTTATCCATTGTAACAGACGCATTGCAAGATGTAAATTTTTTCGATTGATTACCCCGTGGTTTCGACTTGGATTGGTAATGATTTCGAATATGCACCTGATCGGAAACATTAAGCGCCTCAAGTAACTGGGTTCTTTTGTTCAAAAACTCTATAAGTTCGCTTAGTTTCGGCAACTCCTTATTTAAGGTTGCTTCCCATTCCTTTTTTGTGAAAAAGTCAAATTTTAACTCTATAATTACAATTATTAAAGTCTCCCATTTTTCCGTTTCTAAACCTAGATTTTTTAATGCAGCCATATTAATTGTAATATCGTCCACTAGTTTGCGCATCGCTGTATACGAATTTTTAATGAGGACAGGCGAGTTGATGATTGCCATAATATGTTCGTAAACAATAAGTCGCTTGTTATCAAAACGCGCTTTTAATAGGTCCCAAGCGATACTATAATTCGCGGCCGAAACTGAAACTGCTTCTATCTATTTTAAATAGTGGAATTTCTCCACCTCGATATAAAGATTACTACTATGTATCAGAGAATTAAACCTGTCCGCAAATGAAATCCATTCGAGATAAATTCCGCTAAAAATGGGTAAATCTAGCGTGGGCAATTTAACTGGATTAATTCGCGTCTCGGACTTATTACTATCGCTAGCTGATTCGCCAGTGCTTGACGTAGTTGATTGCGCTTTTTCGAGAAGGCTAGCCATTGTTGCTTCCAACTGATAATATTTATTCTCAAAATCATCACGTTCTACTTCCTGTTCTAACGCGGCGGTTTCAGGCAATATTAGTTCTAGTTTCGATTGAACCTCCTCGAATTGATTGAATGCATTGCGTAAATTAGGTAATCGTGTTTTTAATAAGTGAACGTTATCACTAGCCTTAAAATTATC